GTTCTGGTGGCTATGGAGAGGTGGAGGTCGTTCTGGTGGCTATGGAGGTGGAGGTCGTTCTGGTGGCTATGGAGGTGGAGGTCGTTCTGGTGGCTATGGAGGTGGAGGTCGTTCTGGTGGCTATGGAGGTGGAGGTCGTTCTGGTGGCTATGGAGATAAGAGCAGCAAGTTTGGTCGAGAAGGCTCTTCATCTTCTGTTCGAACAGGTGGATATGGTGCAACTGGTTCAGGAAGATCAAGAGGTGGCTTTAGTGGACCTAGCTCGGGCCGCTCAGGAAAGTTTGGTGGTGGTTCAGGAGACACACGAGGCTCAAAACGTTTGGGTGGTTTCCGTAACTTTGGTGATTTTGGAAGCTCCAAAAGTTCAAATCAGTCGACTAATTTTGCAGAAGAGTTTGGTTCAGGCCGTTCTAGAAGATTTGGAGATTCAGATTATGACCGAAACAACCGTTCTAGCCGTTTTGATGTCTTCGGAGATGACAAGGATAGTGGTGAATGGTGATCAGAGTTGGGGGAGGAACTATTTCCAACTCTGTTGCAAGGCAAGTTTCATTTTCCAATACATGTTGATACTTTAACTACTGAGCACAAAATGTTGAAAAGAAGATTAAAAAAAGTTTAGGATGTAACGCTCGTAGTGGGACTTTTTATTTTTGGGTCTGTCATGATGCACATATTGGAGGGATCATCCTTCCTAGAATAGTCTTTGGTAGTTGTGGGAAGCATGCTTTCAGAAAGACATAAAAACATCTTGCAACTGATGGATTTTTTCAAAGATACTGCAGTCAACTCACATTGGTTGATGAGACGCTATTAGAGCCGTGGACATATGCATGTGATTGTTTGAATACTATGCTGCATTTCATTGTACGTAGGAACAGAAAAATTAAGGGGGTGGGGGATATTACCATCAAATCTCTCTATAACATCATTTTTTCTGATATCTTTTTGGCTGCTATACGAAAAATGATGTTATACTGAACATATAATATAGCGCAACATGAAATATTGGTTCCACAAAAGCATGTGTATAGTGAAATGTTATAAGAGGTCTGACAGTATATTCGTGTCTGATGATCTGATAAATATCATGCTGCCTCCATCATCGGAGGCTCCCAAGGTTATAATTGAAGGATTATATTCTCACGTAATGGCTTTGGTTTTGGTTCAGGAGGCGTGGCCACTCAATAGATGACGGTGAAGATGAAACTCCGATATGTGAAGTATGTGTGTTGATTACCAGGTGCTGTAGAGTAGCAGCAGCTGCAGATGGTGATGCTACAACTCGTTACAGTAGAAAATAACACTTCAACATTCACTTGATCTCGAAAGGTACCTACATGCTATATGTAACCGATAGCTTACCAAGTTCTTACCATTGCTGGCGTTATGTTTCTTCGCTTTATGTTTATAATCTTTGATCTCAAGCTTGAAATGAATATTTTTTGCAAGAGATCATGTTGGTACTTGCTAGTAGTAGTGGTTGTAATGTTCAGTATAAATTTTGGACAAACCTTGACTTTATTATTAGGATGTATTGAATTGTTGAATCAACAGGTGAAAAGGCTTACAGTGGAAAGTATATTGTTTTTCTTTTGCACTTGGAAATAGTGATTCTTCTGAACTATTATTCCTAGTAGTGTTTTAAAAGGTGGGGCATGAGACGAGGCGTTTTAAAGGTGAGGTGTAAGCCTCGAGACATCATGGATCTTTAAATTTTTAATTTACAATATAATATAAAAAGTTGATAACATCAAATTATAAAAACACATCAATAGTTTGAAATAATTAAAAACATGATTAACTCATAGAAAATATAACTTCCCTTTTCCTTTTTCTGGGATGGGATACTTTTGGGCTTATTCCCTTGTAAATATTGAACCTCTTTTGTTTTTAATAAAATCAACTTTGGCTTAAAAAAATAAAAATAGAAAATATAACTTCCAACATGATTATATGATTATAAATAATGTAATGATATTAATATTATTATGAGATGCAAAAACTCTAGCATCTTAACTTTCTAATAATAAAAGAATTATTATTTCTAAAAATATTTTATTATTATACTATACAATTTAATCCCCTAAAAGAAAATACTCAATAAAACTTATTGGTATTATAATAAAACATCACTCCATCATGAATAAAAATAAAATTACTTTCAAATATAGCTAAATAATAAAATATGATAATTTTGATACATGACAAAAACATGAAGACCAATGATAAGTGAAAGTAAAATTTCGCTATTGTATTTTTAAAAGAAATGTTATGTAATATATAATCACTCTCAAAGTGTTTCGAAACACAACTTATTATTCGAGTTACTCTCAATCTTCTTATTTCTATAGATTAAAAAACTATTAAGTATCACTCATTTATTCAAGAATTATAAGACTCAACAATGTTAACTAAATGATTTAACACATAATTTGTATAAGATCTGTTAGGCAAATCCCTAGGGCGTAAGTCTTACGTAACTAAGCTCCAAACTTAAGTCTTGGGGCATTTTGCTATGGCCCCACTATAGATCGAGTCCTAACAGAGTCTTTTAAAACACTGATGCCTACTAATATGTTTGGAAACAATTTTTCTTTCTTTTCGAAGTCTCTTCATTTCTTTCAAATTTGATTTTTTAAAAATCTTTCTAAGAACATACATTAAAAATGCCCATCTAGAAGGAAAAGCTATAACTAGAAAGCTTCTCTTTTTGATAAAAGATATCAATATGTTGATTTATTTAGCTTTTCAGTTTTCAACAACTGAACAAAATTGCCAGCAAAATGTTTCATATTCCTAGGTTTTGTTACATGACCAATGAATAATACATTTTCTTCTGAAACAGCTAGAATAAACTTGTGTATTGTTCCTTCTAGTGCTACAAAAATCACTGGGGATAAAAAACAACTTGTTCAAAAACATGATGTTGATCTGCTTTGTTTGCTAAAGCTTTTGCCTAGTTCACCAGTTCTGCAATTCAGCTTTGCCTGAACATATCAGTAGTGCAATGACTCGACGTTTAGCGCACAATAGTTCTGCTGTTTTTCTTTGTAAAAGATTCAAGAATCTTGTACATCCATCCATCTAGCATGCCTATTACACACAACAAATATCAACATGTCAGTATGTTCGACTACATATTGAAGATTTCTGACAGGCTGAATAACAGTTGGATTTCTTCTGCAAGAAACAATTTGCGAGGGAAATGCCAGCCAAGAAAAAGACTTGAAGACGATATAAGCCAAAAACATCAAGTGGTTTGTCAATTCATAACCAGAAAGACTTCTTAGTAAGTGGTAATAAAGAGAAACTATCCCAATCCAAATCAGCATAAAAAATGGCATTGTACTTTGATAACAGGAAATGATATCAAAACCTAGTCACTTCCAGATGCTCTGGTCTATAAAGTATAGGCAAATGGTCAGAACAAAAACAAAGTTTAAACAGAGATTCCTTGCATGAGATCGGGGAAATAGAGAATCAAACACTTGCTTGAGACTATTGGAGAAGGATTTCCCCGTAGGAATTATCATAGTTCTTTATTTATGGGTAATCAGGAATAATAAAGACAAGCCCAAGACTTAAAATTTCTCACACCAGACATAACTCAACACTTTTCATGCACCTGGGAAAATGATTTTTCACTTCTTCACGGATATTCAAGTCAAGAGCCTTCGGTTCAATTAAATGAGGAACATTTCGACTAGAAGTGTGAAACAAATTAGCAGGGACTTATGGCTTATAAGGGGTTTTCACCTTTATTAAATCATACAGCGAAGTATTAAAGGCAAACCTGTCAAGGCAAATGTACCACCCAACACTGCACAGAGCCGAGTGATGAAGTGCAGAAAACTGCGACGTTCTTCTCTGATGGTCACGGTAATTGGTGACAGATCATATAAGAAGTATACAGCTGCATAAAGCGGCAAAAGACACTCAGTGAAAAATGAAATACAGCAAGAGGAAAAGGGAGAAGAAGAGCAGAGACTCACCTGGCCATGTCCGTTCAAAATCATGGATGGGAGAAAAGTACTCCGTTACAGAAAATTGATTAGTTGGTGAAACTTCTTTTGATATGTATCTATACTCAGTTGGAACAACCTACATGACAAAAACCAGAACGTAAAAATATGGAAGCACGAGAGCACATCCAAAAGAAAAATATCATTATGACTCGAGACTTATCTTCACAAGGAAATCCAATTAAGTAAACCTTGATGCATGTTTCAACTAATGTTTCTTGCCAACAGTGTTAGATTGTGTGAACCGTCTCATCTAGTCTAATCTTGTTATAAAGGAGACATACCTATTTCGACGCTACAACACACTTCCTCATGTCTTCATTTCTTACCTTTATCCGGACACATGGAAATAATTGTGTTGAGTGGCAGCAAGACTTGAACAAAGCCCTCTTTATTTTGTAAATTGTCCCATCTAGGAGTTCGAGTCGCTAGAGAGGAAACACTTTATTTGTTTATTATAGATTTGCCACCCTACATGGTTTAGAGCGGGTTGGCCTAGTGGAGAGGATCTTTAACCTCCAACCATGAGGTTACTGGTCCAAGGTCATCAAGGAATAAAAAAGTGGAAAAAGCCACTGCTGGCCCATGGGACAGGATTTCAAAATGAAGAACAAATTTGCTTTTTTTTTTCACACTGGTGGCCAACAATTGCAGATATTTAGCCTCGGTGAAGAACAAGATAATTAGGTCCCCACATTACAGGAAAAGAATATATCATACACCACAAAATAATCCAGACAAATTACAGAAGCATGCAGCCATAAATACAAGTTAGTTCTTTCTATCACATAAAGAAAGTTGCTCAAGTTTGTTCATTCCACCACTTTAAGAAAGTTGGTCAAGGCTCCTTATGTTTAAAAGGAAAAAAAGATAGAAAGAAAGAATGGTCAAGGCTATGTTGAAACACTCTATGCAATGTATTCAAAATAAAAACTAAATTAGATCTCCACAAACCTTAATGTAATATTTGAATGTGCCACTTGATCCACGCAGAATTCGTGATGTTCCATCTAGCGGGTTGTGAATACCTGGATATTTGGGCCCAAATGATAAATCATGGATGATATGGCTTACATTGACATGAGTGGACTTTTCAAAAATCTGCATTTTCAAAGGATGCAAATAAGAGTGAGCAAATACTCTGGAAGAAGAGAAACAGTAATACTTAAAGGCTATTCTCTGAACGCTGCTGTAAAATGCAGCCTTTGAGTAGAACTTCATGTACTTCAGAATATGGGTTAAAATAAAAATGAAAATCAGCTTCTGCACTCGGACCAACTTCAGAAATATGGTATTGCTAATTTCTCTAAACTTGTTTCACAAAATATTTAGAAACTCACTGTACAACTTCCTTAATGTGGTATTGCTAATTTCTCTATACTTTTTTCACAAACTATCATAGATCAAAAGACGAGCAAAATCAGAAAAGTAGCTTCAGCACAATCTTCCTTTTGTCATGCATAAGTTCAAAATAACTAGCAAGTTGGATTGAATCAGAGCTTTCACTTTACTTGAACCACCAATATATAACTTGATAGAACACCGGAAGCCGACGAAAAGAACTGTCTTAACTCTCCCACCTTTGGGAGGGTTATTGCCCTAGTTTCTTAGATGAACTCCTTTTAGCATCTTCCAATTATACCGCCCTAATTTCAAGGATCACAACTGCTTACACAATTTGACCTCATAGATACCTTAGAATGGGACAAAGTTCAATGCAATAGTGCATACTTTCCAACAGTTATAGTGTATTCCCATCAAATCTATAAAAATTATAAAATATCAACAGAGCTGACCATTTGAGCAACAAAAATGTTCATCCCATGAACGGATAGATGGAAATTCCCAGCAACCCTCTGGACATCTAAAATGCCATACACCTGCATGCAACAATGTCAGCATCAGTTGGTGCAACACTGCTATCGCTTAGTTAGCCAAAGTGGCAGCGTATTTTAGGCCCAAAGTGAAAAAGATAACGGGGGATGGGGGCGGGGGGAATGACAATACAAGAACAAGCATAATACAAAGCAACCAAAACATACCCTGCATCCTTCCCCATCAGCCAATGCTTGCTTAACCTTCTTGATCATATTTTGAGATTCTTCATCAATGCCCTGTAGATGGATCTTGTCTGAATCTTCATGATGTTCTTTGTGTGCATCTGGTAAAAATTGTTACTTAAAACCATGTTATCAATTTGTAGGAGATTAATACTCAGTTGTGTTATGCAAGCTAGATCACAAACTAATCAACTGATATATTCAAACAAATGGAATTTCTCAAGTTATTTGTGCTTTGTAAGTTGGATCCATTTATCCGATTCCAGAAAGAGAGAATTTGATAGAAGTCACTAAGGTCTAACCAAAGCTCTTTATATTTGTCAAGAAATTAACATTAACATGATCAACAGACAAGGCCACACTAAGCAGGTTCAAGGCAAAAGCATACCAGTGCACAACTTGGACTCGGATAAAGAGAAACAGAGAGTTAAGCTAATGCTACTACCCAAATGCAGAAGAACCAAATGCATTACCATGTTTATGAACTTCATGTTCCTTCTCAACAAGGTCTGACA